GCGTCGTGTCCTCGTCCAAATAATAGGCGAAACTGACTTCTCGCTCTCGAGCATCGTAGCGGTCATGCTCGAGAGCGAGGAGTCCTGGAGGGCGGTCTCCTCCTTCTGTGAAGCAGTAATGCTGCAGAAGGAGGAAGCCGAAAGAGAGCGGGAGCGACTCCCCGGAGGACGCCGCGGAGCTCGCGGCCGAGGTGGGGCAGCCGGGGGAACCGGGGGTGAGACGCGGGAAGAGCCCTTTACGGGCAGGACCCGCGGGCCCCTCACGACCCCTGGCCGTAGTGGTACGAACGCCGTCGTGCCTCAAGGACCCCCCGGGGTGGGTTGACGGGGGCCGGGGCCACATTGGCCTGCGGCAACTCCGGAGAACCGCCCCAGACAAGGGGGGCGCGCGCGGGAGGAGGAGGCTGGGCCGTGATCGGACCCGGCCCCACAGAACTCCCCCCGCGTATGCGCAGGGTCCCGCGAACCCGGGGGACGTCCGCAGTTCCGTCGCGGACGTTTCACCTGGGTCCGGGCCCGGTGGTCGGAGCCCAGGTGGGGTACCTGGGCCCGGCCACGCCCTCCCCGGGATAACACCGGAGGGAAGCGAGAGGGGCGGTGGTCCCCCTCTCGCTGATATGAGCTGAAATCCCTATAACACACAGGGACACTGGGGGAGGGACAACTCCTCCCCCAGAGGGCATGGCTCGTGGGCGGAGGGCCTCTCTGATGTAGTGCATATGCCAGTTTCCAGAGAGGCCCTCTGAAACGCCCGAGATAGGCCACCCGGAGGGGTTTTAGTGGGTAGTCCCCGGCCGTTTGATTAGGCCGGGGGTAGTCCCAAATAACCCCGCCTCGAACCCCATCGAGGCGGGGAATGCGTAAAGGCATTTCCCCTCCGTTACAAAAAAAAAGCGTTTTAATCGTTATTTTGACCTTTTTTTTCTTAGCCGCTGTTGAAAACCCTCGTCCACGCTTGTATGGAGTGAGATAAAGTCCGTGACCTTCCATGGCGCGATGGTTGCATGGAAGGGACTTAGGTCCCCAACGTGGGCGGGCGGCCGGGGTAATGCGGCAATGAGGCCCCCTTTGAGGGGCACCTCTGCGCCGCTCCCCGAGAGCTACCCGCCGGGAGTCGTCGGCGAGGGTGAGCGAGCTTGGTACGATTGGTATACCGAGCAAATCGCTGCCCTCGTCGACTTACGGGCGGAGATAGGCCGGGGCGGACCACATAGGCCCGCTTCGACGGCCGGTCGCCCGCTCGGGGGGGCTTTCCCACCTCTGCCCCCTGCCGGCGCCTCGGCGCCGGGACAGGGGAAGAAGAGGAGGAAGAAGCAAGGGGGACGCGGTGCGGGAGGAGAGGGGGGCACAAGGCCCCCACCTCCCCTACCCACTGCTCCGCGAGGCGCGCCGGCGGGGGCGGGAGGGCGGGCAAAAATACCGCCTCCCGATGCCACTCGACCGGCTCCACGGGACCAAGGGCTCCCCCCGGCCCCGCATGCCCTTAGCCAGGATGAATCCTGGTCAAAGGTCGTGGGGCGGAGGGAGAGGACGGCTCGGGCGAAGGCCGCACAAGCGGCCCAACCCCCGGCCGGGAAGGGTGTTTTTCTTCATCGATGATTTTTTTGTTTTCATCCCCATACCGAATATTGTCTTTGCTTTCATAACTGTCCAAACAGCTGTAGCGGCTGCTTTTCCGCCAAGAGTCGAATCTCTCGCGGTAATACGTGTTCGCGCTTTCGTGGCGAGTATATTATCCGCAACGTGTCGTTGACCGAGATCGTTGCTTCGGAAATAAGCTATGTCGTGCTCGCGACACGCGGCGTCCAATGGATTGATACCTCGATCGCCTCTAGCAAATCGCGTTTCTAAATGAGTTACCGGTTCGCCAAACTGATAGCCTGGAATATGTAATTCGATAGGAAGTGCGTTTATCGCACGATTTAACAAACCGCTACCTCTTATAATTTTTGCTGGCATTTGCCACAATCTTTTATTAACGGTGTTGGACCGTCGATATGTGTTTGCTGCCACAAATTATAATGTCGCATGCATCGACGATATTGCCGAACCTCTGAGTCAGCTTTTATACGTTCGGAAAGCTTGTCCCACAATTGTTCCACGTAGCTACCAAAGTCTCGCAGTAGAACAATCTTGGGGATAATCTGTAACTGCTTGGTGGTAAGCTCGAGAATATCGCTGTCAACCGATAGAAGAAAAAACATTTTTGAGACTGAGCGGTTTCGATTCGGTGCACCTCTATAAATAAGGCCCCGATGACTCATTTTCCAAAAATCTGGTTTGAGATTCGCGAGAACAAACATGCGGTTCGTGCGACAAGCGACGATAATCAAAGTGATAAATTTTGACGATAAAACACGAGTAACGTCCGAGAAAGAAATACGCAAGCGTGGAAACATGCTGCCGACTACTATACGCGGTATCATTTGCGGTCCTTCGAATTATGGTAAGGCTAACGTGTTGATGGTAGCGGCTTGCGTATTATATGCGTACTCGTCTATTCAATCCTCGTATAAAAATGTTTACAAATTACAAATAAAATAAATCTAACAATTATTTTTAATTTTATAATTATTTTACACATCAAAAATATTAATTAAATAAAAAGAGCGTAAATGATAAGAAGCCCACTCTCGTCCAACATGTACGTCTTTTCTTTACGAAATCAACTGTTATTAATTTAAAAAGATGATTCAATGTTAAAAAATTAAATAAAAAATTAAATTATATGTTACGTGTTCCAAATAATTTATTCTATTATTTATATTTTTTATAAATAGTCAACGTACATGTTGTTGCTCAACGGAAACCGCAGGAAGGTGGTGGTCTCTTCCGTCAGAAGAAAATGTAAAAAAATATTTTTTTACATTTTTAAAGAATGCAGATAGAATATATGATAGAAGAAAGGATAGACATAGTGAGATGCAGGTGCAAAGATTGAGTAAAGTGAGCGATATTTCCTGAACAAATAGAGTATTATTAAAGGATGTTTGATATTGAATTTAATGAGGATCGGTGAAGAGTACGCATATAATACGAAAGCCGCTACGTGTATTCTCGATATCGCAGCTATAGCTATAGCTATAGCTCGCGCTCGAGAAAAAAAGAGACAGCGTATTGTATATCTGTTCTCTTCTACTACCCGATTCTGCCCGAGCGCCGAACGCACACGTACAGGACTCGTTCCTTGTGTGCGCTACCCCCTCCACATGCGCTGGTAGCGGGCAGAAACCGCAGAGTTTGCATCACTACTTCAGGTCAGGTTAGGGGTTCGACCGCGTCCTAACCGGCTGGCGAGGGATCCGCGGAGAGGGGGAGGGGGACCGCGGCGAAACCGATAGGCGAGGGGTCCGCGGGAAAGAGGGGGAACCGCGGCGAAACCGATAAGCGAGGGTCCGCGGGGAAGACGGAACGCGAAGGTACGATGCCGCGAGTAGGTGTGAGAGAGATAGCACGAAGCGTCCGCAATGTGTAGGAGAAGGATAGCGCTAATGATATTCTATGGGCGTGGGAGAAGGATAGCGCGAGGCGTCCATATGAGCGTAAGACAAGGATAGCGTTTGCATGCACGTTGGAGAGAGATGGCGCGAGGCATGCACTTGGGAGAGAGAGATAGCCCGAAGCATGCACGTGGATGATACGTTCGCAAGGCGGTGTGAGAGAGTAGAGCGAGGCATGCATGCGTGTAGGAGAAGGATAGCGCGAGCAAGGAAGGAGAAATAAAAATATTCTGGGAAAAAGCTCGTCTTCCTATTCAACATGATTCAAGATGCATAGACAAAATTTTAAAATTGCATACTGATTACACGACTTTGAAAAAAACAAGGGACAGCTGTTTAATCTAGAAAAAGAAAAAATCTTTTTCGTACAAATGAATAATTTGTTCGATATATCTCACGGTAATATTCTTAAAGATCTAAGTGATGGAGATCCGAGAAAAGACTTTTTTCTTTCTCAGAAACAAGATGGTCGAGTAGGTTGTTATTCATTAATAACATTGAAAGCCTTTTTGATAGACTTGATGAAGAAGAAAATCGAAGACAAGAAATACTCTCTGAAAAACTTGCGAGAACTGGATTTCAAACAACTCATTTAGGTAAAGTTTATGAGACATTATGCAAATATAATTTGAAAACAAAAAATTCAACTTAAATTGAAATAAGAGAAAAAAATTTTAATTAATAAAAATCACATTTAATCTTTTTATATTCGTTTTATACGTTTTAGATGACTTAGTTGAATGGGCCTCAAGCAGTGGAGGTACTTCTCATGGTTTTAGTCAAAAAAGTGCGGGAGGTCAATCAAATATTTCAGAAGAGTGGGGGCCAGAAGCTGGTCCATCATCAGCAAAGCGTTCAAGAGGAACAGTTAATATTTTTAATGATGAAAAGGTAGTGGCAGCACTTGACAAAAGTAAAGTAAGCAACAGAAATGCTGTTCATTTGGTTGCGGCTATAGTTCAAGCTTTGGGCACTGATGTGACGACTTTAGCATTAAATACTTCATCAATCAGATTGAGCAGACAGAAAATACGTGCACGGAGAGCTGAGAAAGTAAAAAGCTATTTTAATACCTTAGAATTAAAGGCTCTTGTTGTACATTATGATGGAAAACTGATGCAAGATATCAATACCAAGAGTAAAACTGAAAGATTGCCTGTTGTTGTGGCAAATGGTCAAATTGAGAAAATCCTTCATGTTCCAGCATTAAATGATAGTAAAGGTGAAACCCAAGCAGAAGCAGTTTATGAAGTATTAAATGATTGGGGGCTTACGAAATCTGTCAAAGCTATCTGCTGTGATACCACTGCATCCAATATGGGCATCAAAAATGGCTCTGCTGTTTTATTGGAATCGTTGTTGATGACTGATATCTTATTTTTACCATGCAGGCATTATATTTTTGAATTAGTGTTGCGTTGTGTGTTTGAAAATAACCAACCTGAAACAACTGGACCAAATGTCCCGCTTTTTAAAAATTTCCAACAAAATTGGAAAAATATTGATCAGAGCAAATACAAAAGTGGAATAGTTGATAAAAAAGTAAGAAATTCTGTAACCTGTGATGACGTTGACCGAATAAGCACATTTGTAAAACTCACTTTAGAGACACGACAACCTCGTGATGATTACAAAGAGTTTTTGGAGTTGACACTCATTTATTTAGGATGTACTCCATCAGACAAAGTTTCCTTTCATATTCCTGGAGCTTATCACCATGCGCGTTTCATGGCAAAGGCAATATATAACTTAAAAATATTCATTTTCCGTGATCAGTATGAAATGTCTAAAGAAGTAAAATCAGCAGTTCGTGATACGTCAATTTTTATTATTTTATATTACGTAGAGGCATGGTTTACATGCGGAATTGCAGCCAGAGCACCAAATCACGACCTTCAATTCCTAAAAAAGCTTTACGACTATAAATTGAAAAATGAAAAAATATCAACTAGTGTATTGCAAAAATTCCGTAATCATTTGTGGTATCTCAGCCCGGAAACTACAGGATTGGCTTTTTTTTGACGAAACTATACCAGTAGACGTCAAGCGCAAAATGGTAATAAAATTGAAGGAGCAGAATGATGATTCTCTCAAAGCACCTAAAAAATTCCAATTGAATTTCGAAGATATTGGTACATTTGTTGAAAAGCAAATAGATTCATTTGTAACACCACAAACAAAAAGATTTTTTTATCGTTTTGATATCGATGAGAGTTTTTTAGAAGTTGACCCAGCTTTATGGCCGAGTGATAGCAATTATCAATATGGTTTAAAAACTATTACAGAGCTAAGAGTCGTCAATGATGCTGCTGAACGAGCTATTGGCCTGTTTGATGCATACAGTTCAATAATAACACAAAATGAAGATCAAAAGCAATTTGTCATACAGCTTGTGTCAGAATACCTAAAATTGTTTCCTGATGCAAAAAAAAAACAACAGTCATGAGAAAATTTTAAATAAATAGATAATTCATAATCTACCAATGAATGTTCATTTCATTTTTTATTTCAAGAGTATTTTCAATATTTTAAAACTTGTAATTTTTAAAAAATAAAATTTAAGTAAAAAAGAAATTTAGCTGGAATGACCCATAGATTTATTCAATATAAAATTTCTTTTTTAAATATTCATAGTGTGATATTTTAACACCTATAGTATATTGAAAACCAGTTGGATTGACTAGTTATGTAATTTTTTTGGATATATTTTGACAAATATTAATAAAAATAATAATTTAACACAGCAGCATGTAATTTGAAACTTTCGCGATGCATCTTGGTTGAGATGACATCATCTCTAGACGACAAAAATGCAATAATCGACATTAGTCAAAATGTACGTGACAAACCGCGAAATAAAGATTTAGTTAATACACACGATAGAAAGAGACATCAAGATAGAATATAAAATCATGGTAAAGAGGCACACCCTGTCAGTATTTTCGCCAAGAATTCCGAGACGAGAGCTATAAATAAGCGCATCTTGTTAGCAAAAAATTTTGGCATAAATTTAGAAATATGGCTGAAAACAATGCCGAACGAATTCTGCACGAGCAATCTGCAAGGGTGAATTCAATAGAGGAGTACGTTGCGTGGGAGCAACGATGCGACGAATATATCGAATCGGTGAAAGAGCAAAGCTGAATCAAACGTCCACGATTATCGATCGGGATTCGACAATCGCTGATTGCCCGAATCGCGCGACACGAGGGATTGAAGAACTCATTACGCAGGTGTTTTGTACACGCGGGTGCAGGATGCAGCACGCGACAACACGGATTGATTTGGCGAGAGATCGATACGGCGTTCGAGAGCCGCATATTAACTGGTGCGGTTATAAATCATAATCATATCGAGCCTCGTCAATTTTTCGAGGATGCCAAAGACATTGTTGTCGAACATGTGCAAACTGTGATGAAAACACACTTTAATGTAAAAATTAATACATTGTTCAATGGTGAATTTGTGACGGGTGATAAACGCGCAAATAAAAGTATCAATACCAGAAACTATGAACTTTTTCGCACAACCGATTTACGCGAATGGTACGAGCGGCGCGTTGTCGAGCCCACTCTAGCTCGAAGAATTTCAGGAACGCGATAGCAGGTGCCCATACAGCACGGATCATTGCAATTATATTGCAGCAATATTGCAATGTTGCAAATTGCAATGCAACATTACAAAGACATTGCAGAAATATAGAGCCACAAAGTACCAGCACACTTGTAGCAACATGACATTAATATTTCGGAAATATTGCAAAATTCAATTTTTATATAATTTTAATAATAAAATATTATAATAAAATAATTTTTTGCAATATTTCTACATGAAAGATGTTAACGATAAACAATACTAAATGGTTCATTTTATTAAAACATTTTTCTTAAATTGGCTTATATTGCTGCACTGTATGCTTTGCGCAGCACATGTACGCGTTCGCGATTGTGTGCGTATGTAGTAGGCGCCGGTCTTGCTGCACATATCTGTGATTGTCGTGTATTTCGTGATTCACATTTTTTATTGTTGCGTACGAGAAAAGGTAAGAGCTTTTTGATAATATTATGTTTTATTATAGCGACCTATATATATTATGTATTAATTAATCATAATAGAATAGCATGTCCTAAGGTTAATAACCTATATAACCTTAAAATTATTGAGATCGCAAAAGTAAAAATTATATTTATCTATGATATATGTTCGTATATTTTTTATGTGGATATTTTTTGCTTTCTCTAATTTTCTATTTTGCTGTAGATATGAACTTTAAAATATTTGATAAAAATATTTATGTATATTTGCAGTATGTATACTTTTATGTAAATATGAATTTTAACTCCTATTTTATTTTTACAGACATTTAACAAAGGAAAACAATAATGGACAAAATTCAATAAATTATTAGTGGTAATAAAAGCGCCGCGTAAAGCTGAACCATTTTTATATATTTCTCTAATATAAAAAAAATATATTTTTATTTCGTGAACATGTTTACGCAGGCGTTTTGTACACGCGGGTGCAGGATGCAGTACGCGGCAACACGGATTGATTTGGCGAGAGATCGATACGGCGTTCGAGAGCAGCATATTGACTGGTGCGGTTATGAATCATAATCACATCGAGCCTCGTCAATTTTTCGAGGATGCCAAAGACATTGTTGTCGAACATGTGCAAACTGTGATGAAAACACACTTTAATGTAAAAATTAATACATTGTTCAATGGTGAATTTGTGACGGATAATGACAATGCGTGTTTTGCGTGGTCTGTGGTCGCCGCTCTACATCCAGCTAAATTGAAAGTGGATCGCGAATCTTCGTATCCACATTATACGACAGTGCTAAATCTCCAGGACATTGAGTTTCCAGTGACTGTGAACCAAATTAAAAAATTCGAACTTGCCAACGATATCTCAATAAATGTATATAGTATCGAGGAAAAGAACATTGTCCCGATACGTCTAAGCAAGGTAAAGAAAGATAAACACGTCAACTTGCTGTACGTGGAAGACAACAACGTTGGACATTTCGCGTGGATCAAGAATCTATCCAGGCTCGTGAGCTCGCAATTGAGCAAACATAATGGTCAAAAATATATCTGCGATCGGTACGTATATATTTAATAAATTATATTGCAGAAATCTTTGAACAAAAATTAAAAATTATTTCTTTTACAGATGTTT